GTGCCCATCTCCGTTACAAAGCCGAAGAGCCAGCGCTGTCCGAAGACGTCTCCGTGGTCATGTGACCGGCATGACTAAATGCTGAAGGTGCACGGAACGCTGTTACCTTCCCACCAAAGGTGGTCCCTATTTTTCTACTTGCATTTTTAAAAAATGCTTTCGAACTGCTAGGCTGAGGGACAAATAACGGGAGCTCACTGAATACATGGAGTTCAATTTCATCATCATGAAGACTCAATTACTTGTAGGTTGTGAGCACTAAGCAGCCCATAGCTAATTGCAGAACCACAATGTTGAGTGGCAGAGGTCTCCATCCCTGCCTGTGAGGAACTCAGTGGCATCTGGTAGTCCATTGTGAAGGGTGCCTGCTGGATCCTTAGCAATTCCTACTAAAATGCAGCTGTTGTTCTGTTCTGTAGGCTTATACAATAAATATTACATTCCTGGGATCATCACAAAGTTTTCCCCATTTCAAGATAAACTGGCTATTAGTTTAACCAAGATATTCCACTACCAGTCACCAATCCCATGGATAATCCTGTGCAAAAGGGGAGTTGCTTTTGGGATAATGCAATCCACTCTGGCTCACTTCTAGTCTTGCTTCTATTTCTCCTCTTGTAATTATCATTATCATCATGCATTCCTCTGTGGAAAGGGAAAACCCAGGGCTTAATCTAAGGAGCAATCATTTTCAGAAGCTTGTTTCTAAATGCCAGAGAAATAATTAAAACTAGAAAGGAGCACTCCCCAAAGCATACAATACCTTGCAACTCAAGATCAGCTTTTGCCAATCCAGTGCCCTTTGAAGATGAACTGGACTTCAATTCCCAGAATTCCCACTCCAGCCAATCTAGAAAAGGCCACACGGGGGTGGGAAATGGGTGCATTCTGACCCCACAAATGTTGGCAAAGTTTCAGGTGCTGTTTGACTGAAGGGGACCCAGCTGTGACCATGTTAGCAATTCATAGCTGTTGCACCTGCTTCTTCTTCTTTCTTTTTTCTTTTTTGGCTTGATCTAGTCTCTGTCCTCTTTTACCAGCTTTCATCCATGATATATGAAAAGTCAGAGCAGCGAACCCCAATACAGGATGAAATAGCTGCTGTCAATTGCCCCACTGTGCATTTAAAATCAGGGGGGGGGAGGGCAGCTTCTAGATTCAAGGGTTGCAGCGTTGAGCTCTGAAACTACTTTTCAAATATTAAATGCTGGGAAAACCCCTAACTCCTGGCAACGGTGCTGGGCTAAAGCATATGTGCATGATAAAAATGCCAGATGAGTAGCAAAACATGCCTGCTGCTTCTGAGGGCAGGCTAGGAGGCTTTGAAATCTAATCTCCCTCTTCCCTCCCACCCCTCACCCCCTGCATATTTGTACACCTGCTTCCTTACTTATGAAGTTAGCACGCATCACAGTAGAATTAAAGCAGAATCAAAGAGAGATGAGGAAAGGGCT